CTGTGTGACCCTGGGTGAGGGTGTCTGAGCCTCAGGGAGACTGGGGTGATCCTCGAGGTGCTGTTGGGTTTCTCTCTCATGCGAAGACTGTCCCAGCCCCTCCCTGGAAGTGGGGGGGCCCCATGCACTGAGCCAGGTGCCCACAGCCATGACTCGGTGATGACTCACCTGCTTTGCCCCCGTGCGTCCTGTCCTCAGTCCCCAGCCAGTGTGTCTCGGCATCACCTCCCAGGTGTGACCTTGACCTTGACTCCTCCTTGAGCATCTGCTTCGGGCAGGTCCCTAACGGGGCAGCCGGTCAGGTTCGGCCTCGGAGGACCAGCCTGCGCCAGGAGAGGGCAGTCCTGCCCGAGGACTGACAGCACTGCCATCCCTAAGCTCACGGGCGGCAGGGGGGGTCGAGCCGGGGCCGGGTGTCAGGGGGAAGCATTTGTGGGTTTATTTTCTCCAGCCTGAGCTCCTCTCTTTTTTTTGCAACCATATCCACACCAAGACCACTCGCTCTTAACCGCGCGCTTGCGTTTGTCCCCAGGCCCCCTCGTGTTCGGCGAGCCCATCGCTGCCAGCCTGGGCACGGACGGCACCCACTACTGGAGCAAGAACTGGGCCAAGGCGGCGGCCTTCGTGACCTCCCCGCCCCTGAGCCCGGACCCCACCACGCCCGACTACCTGACCTCCCTGCTGGCCTGGTGAGGGCGGGAGGGCTTGGGGGCGGCAGGCGGAGGGGGAGCCAGGCTGGCGACATGGAGGCCTCGGCACAAACCTCTGAGTGTTTCTGGCGCCCTCAGGGCCAGGGTCTGCTTTACTCCCAGCCCTTCCATCGGCGTCTCGGCCCGCGCCTGCTCGTTCAGCACCTCCTTTGCGCCCCCCCCCCCCACATTGTGGATATTGGGGAGCAGCCAGGATTAGGAAGGAGAGACCGGGTTCAAATCCTGCCTCAGCCACTGATTGCCGGTGTCACCCTGGGCACGTCACATAGCCTGGATATCTCTCTGCCTCGGTTTACGCATTGGGAAGTGGGAGAATGTGGAACCTCCGCAGAGCTGGGCAGGAGGCAGTCGGGGAAAGCTGGCATTTCCGGTTCCCTACGCAGCTGCTGGGCTGAGCTGTGCAACGTGCACACAGTAGGAGCACAGTCACTCCCCACCTCCGTGCCGTTAGCCAGGCACGGGGGCCACTCTGGCCGAGAGGAGGCGGGTGCTGAGCATGTGCCAGGAGGCTTGCAGGGGCTTCCCGGAGGAGGTGGCAGCGGGCCTGACACTGGGATGGTAGCAGCTTGCAGGATGGGTGAGGAGGAGATGGGGCTCTGGTCAGAAGGAAGCACGGGATTGAGGGTGTGTGCCCACCATGGAGCTCTCTTTCCCCTGAAGATGTGCAGCCTGGGCTTGCACAGCCAGCAGCTTCCTGCCGCCCGCAGCCCGACGCCTGCGGCTCCACGTCCAAGTTCAAAATGCAGGCTCCACCTTCCCCCAGAGCCGCCGCCCACAGCCTTGCCCATGTTGGGCGGCAGGACATGGACCGAGGGCAGGACACGCTGCCTGTCTCTCCCAACCAGCCTTCCCACTCCCATACGCACCCCCCGCCCCCCGCCCCATGTGTCAGTCACTCCCAGCGGGCGCCCAGGTATTTTAAAACCTGAGTCAGACCAAGCCCCCTCCCCCCTGGGGACCTGCAGTTCCCTCCTCTCAGAATGAGAAGCAGGAGTCCCCACGACTCCCGCAGGCAGAACCCGACCGGGCCCTCACTCCCCGACTGGGCCCTCACTCCCCGACTGGGCCCTCACTCCCCGACTCACCCCGCCGCACCCCCCCCCCTCGGCCCGGCTGTCCTGGGACCAGAGCGTTTTAGGGCAGCAGAGCCCGGCCCCTCTGGCCGACCCCTCTCTCAGGTGAGGAAGAGGAGGCCGGCAGGGAGCCCTCCTTCCCCAGACCTGCCCGGAGCCCACACTAGCCTAGGACCTTCTCCCGTGTCCATGGCTCCTCCCGGTCTTCAGCAAGACGCCCGCGGCCACAGGGCCTGGTCACGTCCCTCACGTGCCCGTGATGTGCTCCAAGCCCTCTCCCAGCAGCTCCCTGGGGTTGCAAGTTCAAGCCCGTGTCGGGTGAAGCAGGGATCTGCCCTTCAACCTGAACTCAGCTCTGAGCCCCACCCGCTTTCGTTCCTCCCAGCGGAGACCTGCAGGTCACGGGCAGCGGCCACTGTCCCTACAGCACCGCCCAGAAGGCGGTGGGCAAGGACAACTTCACCCTCATCCCCGAGGGCGTCAACGGCATCGAGGAGCGGATGACCGTCGTCTGGGACAAGGCGGTGGTAAGGCGGTCCCCCCTCCCGCCCCCAGGAACATCCTAGAAGCACCCTTCCTGGCCCGTCAAAAGCCAGCGTGCCGTGGTCCTCAGCTCGCCGTCCTCAATGACGTGGGGGCCGAGGCCGAGCGGAGGAAGTGGCCCTGGCCGGGGGCCCTCACATTGGCAGCTGTCCTTCCTCCTCAGGAATGACAAAAGTGCTTGTTTTTTTAAAAATATATTTTGCTGATTTCAGAGAGGAAGGGAGAGGGAGAGAGCGATAGAAACATCGATGATGAGAGAGAATCATGGACGGGCTGCCTCCTGCACGCCTCCCACTGGGGATCGAGCCTGCAACCCGGGCATGTGCCCTGACCAGGAATCGAACCAGTGACCTCCTGGTTCATAGGTCGATGCTCAACCACTGAGCCACGCTGGCCGGGCTCTCTTGTTTTGTCCGTAACCACATTTTAGCTCCTGTGAAGGTGACTTCACTGACCTGAAACCAAACGCTGTTATTTTGTGTTACCCGGGCCCAGGGGTGGCGGGACGCCGTGAGGCTCTGCTGCAGGCACAGGTGCCTGTGGGCGGTCAGTTCACTTCCCTCCGCTGGCGCCCGGCCCTGGGGCGCGCTCAGCCAGGAGAGAAGGTTCCAGGCTCCTTGCAGGGCCCCTGCCCCTGGGCTGGGTCTGTGCCGCCTGCCGTCTCCGGCCCTCTTATGGGACGGTCTTCTCATCCGCGGGTCTCGCCTCCCTTTAGGCCACAGGCAAAATGGACGAGAACCAGTTTGTGGCGGTCACCAGCACCAACGCGGCCAAGATCTTCAACCTGTACCCCAGGAAAGGGCGGATCGCCGTGGGCTCGGACGCCGACGTGGTCATCTGGGACCCCGACCGGGTGAAGACCATCACGGCCAAGAGCCACAAGTCGGTGAGTCTGGTTCCCCGGACACTCCTGGCCGGGCCAGCGAGTCGTGCACCTCGGTCACTGCGGGGCCTCTGGGTAGAAATGACACGCGGGGCTTCCGCCAGGGTGTGATCTGCTTGTCCGCCTGACTCGGCCGCTCACATCCTCCTCCTGGGGGCACGGGGTCTGGGCAGCTGGGCTCGCGCTGTTATGGGCACGGCCGGCTGTTCCTTCCTGCCCCCAACCACCCCCCCCCCCATCTCTGGCTCTCGCTCACAGAGGCCAGGACGGCGAGTGCAGGGTCCGAGAACCTTCCTCCCGTTGTGGAGCTGGAGAGCGTTAGGTCTGGTTTAGAAACCTCCTGCTCCGATGTATGTCCACTGCTGACGGTCAGCAGCGGAGAGGCCTGGGTCAGCAGCAGAGAGGCCTGGGCCTGGAGCCGCCTGTTTGCGCACAGCCCCGGGGGCTGCTCCCGGGTCCCAGGCCCCACGCCCGTGGCGGGCCGTTACCTCTGCGCTTTGTGCCTTACGTGTCCCTGACCTCTCCGTGCATCCGGCAAACCTGAGGGCATTTATCTGAGAACCTGGTAGATAGAAGGGTGGGCAGAAACGCAAAACTGGGGCCCAGAAGGAACGGCGGACGCTTTGTGTTCACTCGAGAACAGACCTGGTCTCACTGGTAATTAACCAGGTGCAAATCCTCAGTCAGATGCTGTTTTCCTTTTTCTTTTAAAAATATTTTGTCTGGTTCACTTTAAGAAAATGTTTTTATTGACTTCACAGAGAGGAAGGGAGAGGGAGAGAGGGATGGAAACATCAATGATGAGAGAGAATCATGGATCGGCTGCCTCCTGCACACCCCACACTGGGGATCGAGCCTGCAACCCGGGCATGTGCCCTGACCGGGAATCGAACCATGACCTCCTGGTTCATAAGTTGATGCTCAGCCACTGCGCCACGCCGGCCGGGCAAGAAGGAATATTTTTTAAAAGACCCAGAAATGTCTGTTCTGATCAGCGCAGCCACGTGCCTAACCCCAGGGGCCCCTCACATCCATGACGCCTCAGACCACATTAGTTTGATCATAAAAAACCACCCTCCACCCAAATGCCCAATAGCGAGGGGTTGGTCATGCAAATGGAGGAGCACACAGTGGAATATTACACAGCCTTGAAAAAGGGTGTCTCCAGAAGAACCCCGGAAGTGCCTGTGACCTGAGGGGGCGTGGAGTCACTGTGGGGGACCATAGGGCCGTGCGGAAGCCGTGAGGCACAGCGTGGTTCTCGCTGGCAGGCTGTGGAGTACAACATCTTCGAGGGCATGGAGTGCCACGGCTCCCCGCTGGTGGTCATCAGCCAGGGCAAGATCGTCTTCGAGGATGGCACCATCAGCGTCAGCAAGGGCATGGGCCGCTTCATCCCCCGGAAGCCTTTCCCCGAGCACCTCTACCAGCGCGTCAGGATCAGGAGCAAGGTGCGTGCCCAGGTCCCCGTGTGCGGCGCCAGCGGGCGTCACAGCCGCGGGGCCTCCCTGAGCTCTTGTGTCAGTGGAGCTGTGGCACAGTCCTGCCTGCACCTCAGGCTGGAGTCACCGCCGACCAGGAGGTCCCAGGGCTTTGCCGACTGTAGAGGGGCCTGCACATGTGTGTGTGGAGTGAGCAGGCACCTTGTAGTGTGTGTGTGTGTGTGTGTGCGCGCGCATGTCCCGAGGCGACCTCAGGCCACTCTCCCGCCCACAGGCCTCTGAACAGGAAGGTGTGCGTGCACCTTGCCCATCATTCGCGCTCCCCCTCCCCGTTTAGGTCTGTGGATTGCAAGGGGTCCCCAGGGGCATGTACGACGGTCCCGTGTACGAGGTGCCAGCCACGCCCAAATATGCAACTCCCGCTCCTTCTGCCAAATCCTCGCCTTCCAAACACCAGCCTCCGCCCTTCAGGAACCTGCACCAGTCCAACTTCAGCCTGTCCGGTAAGGGCCTCGGCGCGGCGCCACCCCCACGCGGTTGCCGGGGCCGCGCTCCTATGATCTGGCACACAATGGGGAGGGGACGTGGGAGGCACCCAGCCCTCAGGGGCAGCGAGTGGCGCTGGTGACAGAGGTGACCGGCGGTCTCTTTCAGGTGCCCAGACAGATGACAACAACCCCAGGCGCACGGGCCACCGCATCGTGGCGCCCCCTGGTGGCCGCTGCAACATCACCAGCCTCGGTTGACCACAGAGAAGCGGATGCGCTGGAGTGGAGGATTCTGGGAAAATCATGTCCATTCCTTCCCCCGTCGGTGTGTTCCAAGCCCAGTGTTTCATTTGGTCCCGACGGGGGACACATCGGATGATGCTCTTTCCTTTTGCTGACGTTTAGGAAGACGTGGTACTAGTGTGGTCTGTTTGCTTGGAAATCCCTCGCCCCGCAGGTGTGTCCAGCCGTCTGTACCGCCCCTCCCACCTCTGTCCCGGCTCACGGTCCCCGAGTGGTTCCCTTGCACCCTCGTAGCTGTTCTAGGGTAGTTGATGCATGTTGCTAAGTTACGTATGCAAGTCTGTGCGAGCGTCTGACGGCACACGAGGACCGACCGGACACAAGGTCTGGCCTCGGGCCCTCAGGGTCCCAAACTCCACGAGAAGGTGTTTACTCATCGCCCCCACGCCCCCCGACCCCCCGGCACCTGTGAGCTCCCGGAAGGCGGGGAGCTTTGAGCAACGCCTGCCATCCGCACCCCGTGCCCCGGCCTCCGCGGCACGTGCCCCTGGCCCTGACGCCTTTCGGTCAGCGTGCTGTCCTCCCAGCCAGCTCTGGGCGTCGGCCGCGCCGGACTCACACTCAGAACGGGGTCCCTCGTCCCCATGCAGGGCCGACGACCGTGGGGGATGCTGCTTCCGGCTGCCCGTGTCCTCGTCCCTCTGAGGGGCTGACGGGGCAGCCAGATTTTTAACGTTTTGTACGGAGTTTTCCTTTGTAATCACCCCCATTTTTACTTAATAACCGACTTATCGTGGCTCTTATTTCTGAATTCAAAGCTTGTGGAAAATAAAAGGAACGGCCCCTGGCCTGCCTGGGGTGTCGTCATTGACGCTTTCTCAGAGCTCCGTGCCCGAGCTGCCCGTGCAGCAGCTGGGGGTAAGGTGGGGGACCTGTGACACCCCCTCCCCCTTGGGCTAAGGAAGCGGCACCGAGGGAGTGAAACGGTTGTCAGTGCCAGAGGGTGGGGGTGAGGCCGTCGGTGTGACCTCGTCACCCAATCAGACGTCCCAGCTGGGAGCCCGCTGCCCGAAGGCCTCGGTGCGGGACCCACGGGACGAAAAGAGAAATGATTTCTCTGTGAACCAGGTTCTAAGTGCTGCTCCAAGGAGCTGTGTTCCAGACGCTGCAGAATAAGGAGACGCTTTCTTTGGCCACAAGAGGGCGCTGTTGGCCGACTTGGGGAATCCCGTCTGTCTGCTGACTGGAGGATGCTCTGAGGATGGTTAAACCCCGTCATTCGTGTGGGTCACTTCTTTAAGGAGCCACCCTCCTGCCTGAGAGAGTCTAGTTCGGGTTTTAAGAAATAAACACTCAGGCCATAAACAGTCCAGAATATCCCCGAGACATGGCGCCCAGAGCCCAGAGCCCTCCTTATTCCGGGGATTCGTGGCAGCACTGAGCTCTCCATCGGGGTGGCCTCAGGTCACGGGGGTGCCCCCCGGGGCATCTAAAAGTGTCTGCAGACGTTTTTGGTTGTCACACGGGGGATGCTACTGGCATCTGGTGAGGAGAGGCCAGACGCTGCCAAACACCCCGTAATGCCCAGGGCGGCCCCCCAAGAATGGTCTCACCCAACACGACCACGTGCCGAGGTCGAAATCCAGGATTTGGCCAAGAAGAACCATTTTCTTTTTCATGGGAACACCTCTCCTGGTGGGTGGATGTGGGCCGGTCTGGAAGCCTCGGGCCTTCTCACCGTCCACTGGGGAAGCGGTGCCCCCAGGGCAGACACTCCTCCTAGGGAGGGGGTGCAGTCTGCACCTCTGTGTGGGGGCCCTCCTCAGTCTCACAAGGCAGGGGGCGGGGCGGGCACTCAGACCTCAGGTTCCGCCCCAGGGACAGGCCTTAGACTACAAGTTGCTCCTTCTCTTCAGCAGCTTCCTGGGGTCCTCCCCGGCACCAGCGTCGCCCTCCTGCTGGCTGGGCCTTGGGCTGCGTGAAGCATGGAAGAGAGGCCGCGTCAGAGCTGATGTGCTTCTGGCCAGGCCGATGCACACAGTAGGTGGTCCACAAGCAGCCGGGGCACTAAGCCGGGGACCCTGTGTACCTGAGCGATCCTGAGGGGTGCTCCCCGGAGGCAGGCTCGTCGTTGCTGGGCCCCCCCAGGTCCCCTCGGTCCCGGAGCGCCGGCTTCTTCCGTTTGGTCCTTAGGGGCTTCTCTGTGAAGACACAGGACCCGGGCGTGGCTGTGACCGGGAGTGGCTGTGACCTGGGCACGTGCAGCCTCGGCCTCGCTCCCGCCGGCCTGACCTGAGTCTCTCGGGGCCAGGATGCACTCGGGACTCAGTGTCTCACACCCGCTTAACGGGTAAGGGATCGGGCTAGGTGCCCTCCCGAGCCGCACAGCCCGCCGTGGCAGAGTCGGGATTCGCACTCGGGGCCGCCAGGCTCCCTGTGTTTCCCCAGCCGCCGGCTGGTGGGAAGGCCCGGAAGCAGCAGGACCCCGAGCACACAGCCCAGGACCCAGACGGTATTTTAAGAAGCCGTGTCTGTCCACACACCTTCCCCGCACTCTCCCGTCAGCGGCTGCCACTGCCGGTGACCATACTGAGTTGTCTCCGGCAGGGGGAGGGTTAATCATCCCCATTTTACAGATGGGGAAACAGAGTCAGAGCTCGAACGCAGCTGGTGAGCAGCAGGCCCCGGAAGGGGAATCACTGACCCCTGGAGAGCAAGGGGGCCCCCGGGTGTCCTCACGGAGGCTGCTCATTACAGATATGACACGGAGGCCCAGAGAGGGCACGTACGGTTCCCAAGGCCACACAGCCAGGTGTGGGAGACATGGGACTGGAACCCCTCTTCCCAGCCGCCCACGCCTTACCTGGCAGGCCCCGCTTACTCGGAGACGGTTTGCTTTCGGCAAGGGGCACCCGGGCCAAGGCCGCCAGCTCGGCGATGAAGCTCTGCTCGGCTTCCTGAACGCAAAGCCAGAGAATCAGCGGGGCCTCCTCCCAATCCCTCCGCCAGGAGGGCATGTCCCGCGGGGAGGAGAATCCTCCCGGAAGCACCAGGGAGGCCAGGAGCAGGGCAGAGGCACCTGGGGGAGGGAGCTGACATGAGCCAGCTCCTGCCAGGTAGCTGTCCCTCCTCACTCACACCAGCCACGCACCCCCATTCTACAGGTGGGAACACTGAGGTGAGGGGCGCTCAGGGAGGGCCACAGAGGCGGCAGCGGCTGGTCCAGGATCTCGCCCGCTTCTGCCTGACTCCAGTCTCAGTTTGTGACGCCAGCCCCGTGATTTAACCACACAGACCTGAGCTCCACGACTTCCTGACTGTGTGACCCTGGCCGTGACTCAACCTCTCGGAGCCTCGGTTTCCCCATCTGTAGCTGGGATCCCATCAGGAACCTCCTCCTCGGCTGGAGGGCGACATCAGGTGGCACAGGTGGCCCAGCCAGGGACGCCACCACTCACCCTCCGTTACTGAGTGCCCTCTCCATCCTCACACTGCCACCACCATCACTGCCACTCTGGTGGCCTGTGCTCTGCCAGGCCGGACACACTCACAACTGCCTCCAATATTTGACTGCCTTTAAAGCAGTGGTTCTCAACCTTCCTAATGCCGCGACCCTTTAATACAGTTCCTCATGTTGTGGTGACCCCCAATTTCATTGTTACAAATTGAACATTATTAAAGCATAGCGATTAATCACAAAAACAATATGTAAACATATCTGTGTTTTCCGATGGTCTTAGGCGACCCCTGTGAAAGGGTCATTCGACCCCCAAAGGGGTCTCGACCCACAGGTTGAGAACCGCTGTTTTAAAGGCAGCCAATTCGCTTTATAGCCGCAATTCACAATCACGCGCTGATGAGGATTTTCTGTGCTGAGACGCCCACGTTCGAGCACAAGCGCTGAGCTTCCGGGATGTTCTACGTCAAGGACAAGCCTCAGTCCCCAGCAACACTGCCTAAAGGACCGATCAGCCCTGACAGGAGCAGCCCACCTGCTGGCGGACCCCGCCAGGGAGACGCCCCCTGCCCAGGACCGGCCTGGTGAGCCGGGCGCTGCAGACTCACGGGGGCCCCAGGCTCACAGAGGCTCCACGAGGCTGATGCGGCATCAGCGGTGACACTCAGCGGGGGCCGAGGGTCCCGAGCGAGCGGGGCGGGCGTCCCCTCACCGAGGCCCCATCGCTGCCCTGTAGTCGCAAGGCCAGTCTTTGCTGTGGCCACCCCGCTAAGCCCTGCCCGCATCGCCCAGGCCTGCTTCCAAACTTGTACCTGCAGCTGCGTCTCCAGCTGGGCTTCCAGGAGGTCCAGGCCCCGCGCCCTCTGCTGCCACGTGTCCAGGCGGGTGCGCTGGTGGGCCGTGAACTGGGCCAGGAACCGTTTCTGCTGCGCCCGCATCCTGGCAGAGGGAACGGCCGTCAGCGCTGCCCGGGCGCCAGGAGCATCAGACCCAGCGCCAACCTCCCCCGCTGTGTCCTGCAGGCCCGTGACCCCCTGCAGGCCTGTGACCGGCCGCCATCTGCGGCCACACGAGGGCCCCTCGCCCACAGGCTGGCTCACCACGAGAGCGATTCACTCTGCGGGTTACGGAATCTCTCGGGCACATTTTTACTGAGTGGCTTGGTGACATCAGCAGGACAGAGATCAGAAAAGTTGGGGGCAGGAGAAGCCCAGGGGGCGGGTGTCCCTGGGGTCCTGCAGCGGCAAAGTGGCTGAGCAGCAGGTGACGTTTTCGTGTGAGAAAACGATCTTAGCCCGGGTGGGGGCGCGCTCCTTGTTAACAGTGCAGGATCGCCCTGGCCCCGCCCCCCCGCCCCCCGCCCCCGAGTCCCTCCAAGTGGAGGACAGAGCTGGCCGAAAGCGGGTCCCCAACCCCGAGAAGTCGCCGCCCCCCGCCCTGAAACCTCCCCTGGCTGTGTGAACTCCCTCCCTTCCTTGGCCCACGGTCCTCTGGCCTCTGCAACCCCATCACCTGCTTCCAGGATTACTCTCTGCCCCCTTCTCTGTCCTTTGTGTCTGATTTGCTGAATTTCTAGACCCAAAGGCAGAAGCCGCCTTCTGCATCGCAGGCAGCGGCCCAGGAAGTGCACTGAGGCACAAAATGCCACCTGGCTTTTGCTTCATGCTCTTTTCTTTCTACTTGCCTGGCAAACTCCTATGCATCCTACAAGACCCCGTCATCCGTTCACCCATCCTGCATGGACCCCCCCATTCACTCCTTTGTTTCTTCATAAAAGCATCTTCTGTGCTGGGTTTTGAAGATGCAGGCGTGAGACTCACAGCCCCTGCCTTCCCGGAGCCCCTGCTCGAGCTGGGGGGCGAGGGATCGCTATGGGACACCTGGCTGTGATACCCAGAGGGCAGTGCTCCGGCCTCTGTTGCCCTGGAAACCCTCCTTATCGCAGGTGGTGCTGGCTGTGCTCCCCTGGGGGTCGGCCACACAGTGTCCCCACAGGCGTCCACGCCCGAATCCCTGGAACCCGTGAAGAGGTTGCGCCACGCGGGGGTTGGCAGTCCTGCTGAGGGCATGACTGTGGGATTCAGAGAGGACCTGGGTTACAGGTGCCTCAATCAGCAGGGCCCTTAAAGCAGAGGTCTCTCCAGCTGGAGCCAGAGACCAGGGGGAAGAAGGCAGGGAGTCCCAGGTGTGGCCGGGCCCTGCTGCCCCGGATGTGGGGGCCACGTGCGGGGAGCAGAGAGGCCGCTGGGCGGTCAGGGGACCCCCCCTCACAGCCACAAGGAGACAGGACCTCCTTCTCCAAGGCAGGGCCGCTGCCTGGAGCGCCCGCCCGGAGCCCGCAATCAGGGCCCGGCCCGCCCGCACCTGATGTGGCCGCGTGGGTCTCGGGGAAGTAGCAGCAGCGCCCAGGCGCCTGACCCGCGGAACCGTGAGTCATCGGCTACCTGCGGGGTCTGCGCGGGTCCCTGGGAGGCAGCAGCCGAGACCCCGGCTGCCTGGCTTCCTGGGGTCACTGCCCATAAACCCACCTCCCAATCCTCAAGCCCCGGCCGGCTTCTGGAGGACCCCAAGGTACGAGGGAGAAGGGGGGGTGCTGTGTCAGGGCTGTGGGCGCCACCTAGAACTAGGAACGCAGCCAGGGCCACACTGACGGCGCGTGCCCTGTGCCAGGCCCTGGCTGGGCCCCCGTAGGCAGGAGATGCCCGCAGGCCACGGGGAGAAGCATGACGTGTGGGCCGAGTGTGCCCGGAGCGGGGCCTCACCTCTGGTGGACGCCTTGGGGCGCATCATGAGTTCCACCTGCCTCCTTGCCCTCCGACGGAGGGTCACCGAGTTCCTGCTTTTTCCGCAGCTTGTAACTGTCCCTTCTCTCACCTAGAATGGTAACACACAGCGATCATGAATGTGTTGAAGGGACTGACTCTGTGCCAGGTCGGGCGGGTGCTGGCAGAGCACCAGGGACACGCCCCCCACTCCCCTCTCCCCCCTGGGAGGACTTGGGGGGATGGATGCCCTGGCTCCCGTCACATAATGGCAGCCCCGTGGGAAAGCAACCACGCTCTCCCTCCGACCTCTCAGGCCTGAGTTCCTGTACCAGGCGGAAGGGGAGGCGTGTAAGAACGATTTCACTCCGAGAGGCCACCACACGGCCACAACCCACCCCAGAAAGGAGAAGGGGCTCGACATGCAGAGCTGTGGGCGTGCAGACAGCGTTCCCCTCCGGGCGTGGGTGCTGAGGTGGGTGCTTTCCAAGGATCTGGGGAATTTGGCCTCTGAGTTTGAGGTGCACGGGACTGCGCGTCCACACAGACACACACTGACTCAGCTGCCACGCCTAACTAGCTAGCTGCCATGTCTAACTAGTTGTTGCACCTAACTAGCTGTGCCTAACTAGCAGCCACATCTAACTAGCTGCCATGCCTAACTAGTTGTTGCACCTAACTAGCTGCCACATCTAACTAGCTGCCATGCCTAACTAGTTGCACCTAACTAGCTGCGCCTAACTAGCTGCCATGCCTAGCTATCTGCTTCACTTCCCTAGTTGTTAGTTTAGCTGCCACACTTAACTAGCCACCATACCTGCCTCACTGTGGGTTGTCCAATAGGCCACCTTCCTGGCTGGCCCTGAGCTTCTAGCCCAATGGTCGGCAAACTCACTAGTCAACAGAGCCAAATATCAACAGTGCAACGATTGAAATTTCTTTTGAGAGCCAAATTTTTGAAACTTAAACTATATAGGTAGGTACATTGTTATTAACTTAATTAGGGTACTCCTAAGGCTTAGGAAGAGCCACACTCAAGGGGCCAAAGAGCCGCATGTGGCTCGCGAGCCGCAGTCTGCCGACCACGGCTCTAGCCCTTAAGGGGAGGTTTAACTGGGTGACCTCCAGGGCTATGGCACTCTACGAGTCTTACATAGAAAGGAATTTACGGAATGAAGGAAAAGGTGACGTTAATGTGGTCGATCAAGCTCAGGGACATTGTTTCCGTTCGCTGACAGGGCAATCCCCACATAGGGCTGGGCATCAGGGAAGCGGGAAGTCAGAGCCGAGAGGAAGCATGGAGGGTTGACGGATCCCTCGTCCCACAGATGGGGAAACTGAGGCCGCGAAAGGGGAAATGAGCACCCCGGTCCCGAGTGTCCCAGTCCCGGCCGTCCCCCACCGGGCGAGACCCACCCTGACTCTGGAAAACCCCGGTGAAGGGTCCACGGGGCCGGCACATTTCTGGGTTTGTCCCAGGTTTTATTTGAATCCAGGGTTCAAATTCCCCAGGATAAGGGGGGACAGGCCAGCTGAGCTGGTTGAGGGAAATCATATCACAGGAGCCTGCCTCCGACTGCTGCCATGCGTTCAGCGGGGACCCGTTCCAACTCTGCCCGTGGACAAGCCGAGCGCAGCCCTCAGAGCGCGCGGGCCTGTGCAGGGAGGGACGTTAGAGCAGCGGCTTTTGTCTGTTATTACGCTGGTCTTGGGGACACGTCCATGCCGTTACCCAGTCACCACTATGAGAGCCCCCGGGGAAAACTCCCTGGTCTGGGGCACAGCGTAGGGGCCACTGGCCTGTTCTCACTCACGGCCCATCACAGCTCGGGTTGAGGACACGTCCATCTCTCTGGCCACCAGGAAGCCAGAGCCGAACCATGGGGCCACTCAGTGGGCTCTGATGACATAGGTCCCAGGTACAGAGCCCGCCCCGCTCCACCTCACTGCTCTTGTCCCGATCCATCTACTTCAACGTGCTGCACGCATACGTTTCTCTAAGTGCCTTTAAAACAGCCTTTTAGGGACGAGCAGGGGACACATAAGGAAAGGAAATATTAAAGAGAGATTTCCAAAAGTGAAAGGTGAGCACTCCGAGCTCGCCAGCTCCCGGCGGGGGGCTCCCCAGGCGCGTACCCTGCAGGCTCTCCAAGTGCTCCAGCCTGCGCTCCGTGTGGTCCCGCATGGCCCTCCCAACCTGCTGGTCGTACGCCTGCACCAGCCGGCCGACGCCCGCGCTGGTCACGTACACGCTCTCCACGGCCGCCTCCAGCAGCGTCCTCTGAGGGAGGAGGGGAAGGACTTAGCAGGTCACACGCGGTCCCCACCTCCCCGGCCCTGGCTCTCCTCCGCCCCCCACTCCCAACCTGGACTGGGCAGGGAACGGGCAGAGAGTGCATGGTTGGTTTAAACCAGGGGTCCTCAAACTGCGGCCCGCGGGCCACATGCGGCCCGCCGGGTGTTTTTGCCGCCACTGCCTGTCCTGCTTAGCAGCCGACTCGTCCCGGGCCCGCAGTGTGCATGTGTGGAATGTCTGAGGGACAGTGAACTGGCCCCGTTTAAAAAGTTTGAGGACCTCTGGTTTAAACCAGTTGATAACATGGGGTGGGGCAAAAGTAGGTTTCCCGTTGTTCGTACAGAAAATATACAATAACTAGAGGCCCGGTGCATAGATTCGTGCACCGGTGGGGTCCCTCAGCCTGGCCTGCGCCCTCTCGCAATCCAGGACCCCTCGGGGGATGTAGTAGTGCGGGACGTGCCAGGTGGCCAGGGAGGAGCCCGACCCCGGGCCAGGCTCTGCGGGTGCTGCGCTGTTCCTGCTCTTCCCAGCCCTGCTGTGCCTGCAGCCGCTGCTTGGTAGCGCTGCCACGGAGGCGGGAGAGGTGCTCGCCAGCCGTGAGCCCGGCGTCTGGCACCTGTCGGTCAGCTGAGCGGTGCTCCCGTGGTGGGAGCGCACTGACCACCAGGGGGCAGCTCCTGGGTTGAGCACCTGCCCCCTGGTGGTCAGTGCACGTCATAGCGACCAGGCGACTTGTTCGGTCATTTGGTCGCTTAGGGTTTTATAAATATAGATTGCCTAGTTGGTGTGGCTCAGTGGTTGAGCGTTGACCTATGAACCAGGAGGTCACGGTTCGATTCCTGGTCAGGGCATATGCCTGGGTTGCGGGCTCGATCCCCAGTGTGGGGTGTGCAGGAGGCAGCCGGTCAATGATTCTCTCTTATCATTGATGTTTCTATCTCTCTCTCCCTCTCCCTTCCTCTCTGAAATCAATAATAATATATATAAAAAATGTATTTAAAGCAAAACAATCCTTAAAAAAAAGAAAATACATAATAATTAATAAATGATTAACACAAGAATGAACTCCGTGTTTCACGGACTCGCACCTGTGAGCCTACTCTCGCCCACCCTGTGTTATTTTCCGTGGTCGGGGATGGTCTCAGGCTGGTGTACGACCCTGGCCAATGAGAGGCGCCATTAGGGAAGTCTGCTGGGGCTGTTCCCTTTCCAAAGCCTCCGCGGGAGTAGAGACTTGGCCGTCTTCCTCCCCCTTCCTGGGAGGCAGATGTGATGTCGGAGGATCGGTGGCCGTTCTGAGACGATGAGGCAACAAACTAACACTAAGAACGCGGATCAGAAAGCAAGAGCCTGGGCCTTGGTACCATGGCAGGGCCTCTGAGCCTGGGCCCGCCCGCTCCACGTGGCTCGTTATGTGGGATGAGCGGCTCGCTTATTGGAGTCATTTCAGTAGGACTTGGTGACGTGAGTTATATGCATTCCTCAGCGATACACCTTCTGACCCAAGGCAGGAAGGAGAGGAAATGCTGAGATGCCCGTGGCTGGAGACGTGATGGCTGGGTGCCCGGTCCACCAGGGTTACTGGTTACCATCCTTCCACTTAAAATAATGGGCACCCTCCACAAGGCCATAGCTCCCGGGTGGGGACAGCAGGTGCAGCGCCCAGGAGGCCACTCTGTCCAAGTCCGTCCCCTCATCTGCCCCTGTGCCGCCCTCCCCCCACCCTTCTTGCCCTTGCATTTCCCAGGGGTGGGGTTGGCACGCACCTTGAAGTCATCCCGGTCCTTGGTCCGGCTCCTGGTGGCGGCGGTCCGCGCGTGCCCCAGCAGCGCCTGCCCCACCGCCCGCTCCGTGTGCTGCTGCAGGAGCCGGCCCACCTCCTGCGCCTCCGCCAGGAGCTGCTGCTGCAGCTGCAGCCGTGTGAGCTGCGCCTCCTCCTCCAGCCGGCCGGTCTCCTCCAGCACGCGGGCCTCCTGGAAGGACGGGGCAGGGAGAGGGAGGAGCCTTGCTGCGGCCCTGCACCGGAGCAGCGGATCAGCAGGACCAGGACGTGGGCTCGCCCTGCCCAGGGCCAGGAGGGATGGGGAAGGGAGGGAGAAGGGCCGGAAAGTGGGGGCCTCTGGGCTTGCAAACCCCAGCACAATGGATGAGCGAGGTGTCTGCTGAAGGTACCTTCAACCCAAGGCATTTAGTGAGCATCAACTGCGTGCCCAGGGCCACCACATACACAAGCACTTCCTCATTCTCCCTGAACACTGTGAGCCTGAACGGTAGGCGTGATCAGGACACAGAGGCTCAGAGAGGTTAAGTAACTTTCTAAAAGTCACACAGCAGATCCGAGTCTGGGAGGAATCTGGGACATCACCGAAGCCACAGCAGGGCATATGGGGCCTTGGGGACGGCTTTCCTCGTGGGAACACGAGTCAGAGAAGGAGGCGAGGGGAGTCAGAGGCAGAGCAGCCTGCTTCCCACGGAGCCTCCGGGGCAGTGAGAGTGAGCGTATCCCTCACCAACGGGCCAGAAAACGCCGGCTGCTCCCATAGCTCAGCCCTGTAACTTACACGTTCTTCCTTCCGATAGTTAAACCCTTCAGATGACAGGGCCCCCTTTTCCCAGGGATGACTGTGCCCATCTGCGCTCCGATTTCAAATGCACTTTCAGTACAATTCTCATCCGAGCATGCACTGGAGCCTTTGGGCAGCCCCCGGACAGGGCGGCCATCCCCCCTGCCCCCACTTCCCCCCCACCCCCCCACCCCCCGAGACCACGGGGAGGCAGGGCTGGGTTCTGGCTACCATGCTGGAGCCTGGCTGGGACGGGGTGGGGCCGTGCAGCGATCTCACCAGGGCTCCAAGCAGCTGCCACTGATGCTCGTCCAGGCACTGGGAGGAGCCCTGCTCCAGGGCGTGCTGCTCGCGCAGCTCCTGCAGCAGGCGCTTCTTCCCGGACAGCCGCATCTGCGCCAGCGCGGCGACTGCATGGTCACGGAGAGCCAGCCTCCGGAGGGCGGAGCGCAGGAGCAGCTCATGCCCCTGCAGGAGGCACCGTGCAGACCTTTGGGGAGAGCGGGGATGGGGGTCAGTGCTCTTGGCTTCTCTGCCTGGGGTGGTTACTCTTATGTGTCAGCTGCTCACACATTCTCTGGGGCAGCAGTTCTCAACCTGTGGGTCGCGACCCCTTTGGCGGTCAAACGACCCTTTCACAGGGGTCAGCCTAAGACCATCCTGCATATCAGATATTTACATGACGATTCATCACAGTAGCAACATTACAGTTATGAAGTAGCAACGAGAATAATTTTATGGTTGGGTCACAACATGAGGAACTGTATTTAAAGGCCCAGAAGGTTGAGAACCACTGCTCTGGGGTTTCTGGGTAGATCAATGCTGACATGGTAGACGAGGACAGCAGACTGCCCTTCCTCATGGGGTGGGCCCTGCCTAATCAGGTGAGTGCTGGAAGCAGAGAAGAGGCCGACCCTCCCATAAACAAGAGGGAACTGCCCGTCGGCCCGCCTTGAGCTGGGACACCTTTCCCCGCCTTGGGGCTCAGACGGAGAGACTGGTTCTTCCTGGGTCTCGAGCCGGCGGCTTTCTGACTGACCCCACCGGCTCTCCTGGTTCTAGACCTTCAGACTCGGACGGGGATGCGCGTGGGCTCTCCCGAGTCTCCAGGTTGCCAACCCACAGATATTGCAACCTCTCAACTCCTCTCTCCTCTCCTTCTGTCTCTACAGGTATAGATGCATCGATAGACACATAGATAGCTAAACACACACACACGCGCACACACACACACACACACACACACACACACCCCTCGTTGGCCCTGCTTCTCTGGAGAACCCTAATACACTGAGCTACCAAGAAATGTCCCAATAGTCACACCGCACTGTAAGAGGCGGGCGTCCATGTGCCCACTCACGGGTGAGGACGGGTGTGGGTGTCACACGGGAGACAAGGCCCGGCGCTTCAGGAAGCCGTACTCACTCCTCACTGAGGCCCCCGAGCCGGCCCAGCACGCAGTGGATGGCGCTCTCGTGGTCGTCCCGCAGGTGTGTCTGCAGCACAGTGGACAGGGCGTGCTCCTCCATCCACACCTGGACGCCAGAGAGAGGGACACGGTCACCTCGAACTCCTCTCATCCATCACTGCTTTGTTGGAACCTGCCTTTTATTTCTTGTTTAAAACCCGTCTCCCCTGATTTCATGATCATTTTCTCTTATAGTTCCTTCTAAAGACTTATGCATTTTCCTATTTGCATGGTAAAGCATCTAATACTAATTTTCTATGGCGTGAGGAAGGGATCTGGTTTTCTGTGGATGGATGGATACCGATTGTGCCAGCACCCTTTGTTAGCGGTTATCTTCCTATGACTGGCCGTCATGCCACCTTGGATCTCGTAGTTTCCAGAGGTACGTAGTTTCCATAGAAACATGCACCTCCTTCTATGCTCTTGTAGTCTGTGGTCTGTTCGTTTCTGCACCACACCACTTGCTTTTCAGCTGCCACTCACAGCAAGCCTCAGGCTGCCAGGACAGGGCCTCCCATGTTCTCGTGCACAAAACTGTATTAGCTACGCTTGGTTGTTCTTCCTCTCCTATGGATTTTAGCAAGTTTTGGAAAAACAGCTTTTTTCCCCTGGGTTTTCTTATCGTTTGATTGGATTACATCTGTGAACACTCCTGTGAGGTCCAAGGCCAGAGAGCTAATAAGTTTAAAGAGTGGGGCAGGGACTGGAATTTAGGCCCATCTTTCTCCAAAGCCGAGTCCTGTCTGGCCCTGCCCTGCTCCTCCCCGACTAGTCTGTGCCACCAGGACGCGCCCAGGCAGCCGGACTTACAGCCAGGGTCTCAGGCCTGAGCGAGACCTTCACTTTTCCAGCATCTGTGGTTGCTCAAGGGGCGCTACCCTCAGCCGCCTGAAGAGGGCGCCCGCTGCACACAGAACTGGGATAGAACACAGGGCCGACACCAAGCACCGCAGCCAGAGTTCATTCTGGGCATTGTGACTCGTACCACTTAAACCTATATCACAAAATCGCATTGCGTCTCATCTCCTGTTACGGACAGTCTCTGGCTCCGCTAGTGAGGCGTCTACAGGAACAAAGTGCCCGGGAAACCAGGACACAGAAAACTCTAGTCTTGCTTCTCTGAAAGGTAAACTGGCTTTGTCCCTAAAGCCTATGGGGTCTTTGGTGTGAGTTTTGAGGATGCAGACACCACCAGCCACAGCACCAAGGTCACCAGCCAGGTGTGCCTGCACTGTCCCTCCGACCTCTCCGCCGTTACCCCAGGCAGGCTCAGGTGGTTCCCAGGGGAGCGGGCTCTACGCAGACACTGGGGTGCTGGGGAGGCCAAGGCAGCAAAGACCTGAAGCGGGACGACTGAGGCAGGACCGTGCCCAGCGAGCCAGAGCCGCCAAGGAGCCGGAGAGGCGGGCGCGGAGCGAGCCGGGAGAGGATGAGGAGGGCGGAGGGTGACCGGGCCCCGACCCCGGGTCCTGGTGGGGCCTGGTGGCGACTCTGGCTTTTACGCTCCGTGGAAGGAGAAGCCGTGGGGGGGGGGGGGGGTTCTGAGCAGAGAAGTGATGTCTTGTCCAGTCGAAGGTGCAGCGATGATGACAAGATGCACCGTCTCTTTAGGTCTCACTAAGGGAGAAACCGCTGCTAATTACAGGAAGCTGCTTCTCCATTCCCGGGGGGTTAAGATACATTTTAAATGGGTTTGGGGACGTTTAAACGTATTTAAAATATGTAAATATATATTTAAGATCTTAACGAGTGGCCTATAGTATTTTAAATGTATTCTGGCTGGGGGTCGAGAATAGACCACGGGCCAGGGCGGCCGCGGGGAGACCTGGGGTTAGGACGTGGGCATCTTTGGGGGCCATTATTCTACCTCCGGCATATGGATGAGGTTTTAATGGTGAAACAGACTCACTGGACAGCAGGTGTCCTGTGAGTGCAGCCCCCACCCCACCCCAGCCCACGGCCCTGGGAGCCACCTTCTGCCGTTCGTTTCTCTCTAAATAACGGGTTTTGCTGCTCTTCCTCACTGGATCGGCTGAAGGGATTATCCGCTGACTTCCTGTCCTGGGACAGGTGCGCTTTGCAATCTTCCCCAACCCCCCTAAGGGCTGAGGTGAAAGGCTGGCCACCAGGATCCTGGTCAAGCCCCCAGCAGGACCCCGGGAGGTGCTCAGGGAACAAAAATCTCCTTATTCTTCCTAAGTTTCAAAAAGAGCGACTCTGGGCCGCTCCAGAGGCGCCGCACCTGCTGCTCGTGCTCCAGGAGGTCCTGGGACAGCCTCCACTGCTGTCGGCGGAAGCGATCCGCGTTCCCCAGCTGCAGGGCGGCGTCCTCCTGGGCCTCCCGCCTCACGGAGTCGCACTCAGCCCGCGAGAGGCCCGTCACATCGGGGAGCGTCTGCAGGAACAGGACGTCCGCAAGCGTCTGGAACGTTCCCATGGTGCTGCGGTACAGCTCCTGCAACCGAGAGCCACACGGCGGGGTTCCCGTCAGACCACAGGTCGTCCAGAGAGCGTGAGTACAAGGCTGGACCCCAAAGTGTGGATGCTTTCTGTGCTCATGACGGCCAGAGCCACGCTTAACACGTTAAGCAAGGAGCTGGGAATAACACTGCTTAGTTTAAAAGAACCAGTTAGGATTTTCAGAATTGAAGAATGTGGTCCAATTTTATTAACCTACCTAGAGGCCCGTTGCACGAAAATTTGTGTAAGAGTAGACCTTCCTTCCCCAAGCTGCCGGCACCGGCTTTCCTCTGGCACCCGGGACCTGGGCTGGCTTTGCCTGGGCCAGCCACAGGCACCCAGGACCCCGGCCAGCTTCGCCTGGGCTGGGCCCCAGCTTTGTCAGGAAGGACGTCTGGAATGACATCCGGTCTATCAGATCTAATTAGCATATTACCCTTTTATTAGTATAGATAGTGATGAATAGGCTTAATGGCAGCTAGAAGCAGCTAAAGAGAGAGTTGGTACGCTGGAAGACAGATCAGGAGGAAATCCACAACAAAGTAAGGAGAGACTAGTGATGGGAAATATGGAGACGATAAAAGCACGAAAGATGCAATGAGAAAACCCAACATATTTTTTATTTTGTCCTCACCCAAGGATTTTTTCCCCCCATTGCTTTTCAGAGAGCGAGTAGAAGGGAGGGCGGAAGGGAGAGAGAGAGAGAGATAAACATTGATGTGAGACTCATCGACTGGCTGCCTTCCACATATGCCCGATGAGGGGTGGGGAGTGAACCTGCAACCCAGTACATGCTCTTGACTGGAATATGCACTTAACGGCATTGCCCTCATCAATGCATCAATGCAATCTGACACATGAACAGTATAGAGCAGACGAATATCATGGTGACTATGTGACAACTAGTAGATGAGGAAAAAACATTTTACAAAATTCAGTGCGTGGCATACGCCCTAACCACTGAGGACACTGGGCAGGGCAAAAATCTAACATTTTTCATTGGAGTCTCCAAAGAAAGGAAGGGAGAGCCCAGGTAGAAGCAATATTTGATGTGATGATGGCTTAGACATTTCCCAAAACTGCTGGAAGAAATTTACAGCCGAGAAAACAAAGGCTTCATCTGCACAGTAAAAGGGAGGTGCCATAAATTGCACAAGTTTACATAGGAGGCCCTGGCACCTAGGATCTTAGCAAATTTTTTTGAAAATGAATGAATGAGTGTATAACCAGAATCTAGTAAACATAGGGCCACTTTCTGCTACATTAATGGTAGATAAAATAGTCTTTAAGAAAAAAAAGGGTGACTAGAAATATAGGGGTTTACTTCATAATGCTAAAAGATCTAACTCAACAGAAAGATGTGAAAATCTAAATTTGTATGCACTTAATGGCATTACCCACATCAGTGCATCAATGCAATTTGACACATTAACAGTATACCTGGTAGAGCAGAAAAATATCGTGATGACTATGTGACTAGATGAGGAAAAAACATTTTACAAACTTTAATTTCCATGCATAAAAAACACCCTTAGCAAAACAGAAATGAAAGGAAACTTCTTTAATCTGAAAAAAAACTCAAAACACTATAGCAAAATTACACCTAAGGGTGGAAACTGTAAAATAATATTAAAAGAATTAAATAAGACTGAAATAAATGTAAGGAAATACCATGTTTCTGGATTGTAAGAATTAAATAAGACTGAAATAAATATAAGGAAATACCATGTTTCTGGATTGTAAAGATGTTAATTCTAACCCAAATATCCATAAATTACTAATGCTAATCAAATTGGTGGCTATATCAATAACTATGGAGAATATGGATTGAATCTATATCTGTTCTTTTTAAAAAAAATCCTCACCCAAGGACATGCTTAGAGAGAGAAAGGGAGAGACAGAGAGAGAGAGAGAAACATCAATGTGAGAACCCACAACCTGGGTATATGCCCTGATCAGGAATCAAACCAGCAACATTTTGGTGCACAGGACGAGGCTCAACCAATGGAGCCACTCCAGCCAGGCTGCATATATTCTTTCACCCAACAATTCCGCTCCTTGGTCTGCCCAAGAGAAATGCATGTACAAGCATATCAAACAACTTCTACAGGAAAGTTTATATCAGCAGAAAGTGTAATAGTCTAAACTAAGAAGCCATACAAATGCCCATCAACAGTAGAACAGGTAAATGGTGATGTATTTATACCATGGGATAATACAGACCGACGAGGAAGAATGAACTGCTACATGCAACACGGACGAATCTCCTAAGCATAAGCTGAGTGAAAGCAGCCTGGCACACTAGAGCATGTGTCACATGATTCCATCTCTATATATAAAAGGCTAATATCCAAATTTTCCACTCGGGAGTTTGACCGGGAGAGCGGGAGTTCAATTGCTTGCTATGACGTACGCTGACCACCAGGGGGTGGCGTGGAACATGGGGGGGGGCGGCAACCAGCAGCGGCAGGGCACTGAGAGAGCGAGGGAAGGAGGAGGCAGGGAGGCAGGGAGGCAAGGCCTAGGGGCCTGACCCTGCATGAATTTCGTGCACCAGGCCTCTAGTTTATAGAAAAGCAAGGACCTGATGTTCGTCAAATAAGCCAGATATGGGTCCTGTGAGGAGGGGGATCCTGGGATTGAAGGAGTGTGAGGGGGCTTCCAGGGTCCTTGCCACGATCTTTCTTCATCTGGGTGATGGTTACAGAGATGGTTTTTAATAACCATCTGCTAGTCCATACGGCTGTGCTGCCCACGTATTTACGGGTGTTTCAATTCACAGTGAAGAAGGGTTGAAACCATGGGACTGGTTTACATTTCCCTCCAGCCTCTGCCGGCCCAGCTTTCTGCCGGGAGACAGGTTTTTAAATCGATCCTCCTGCCTTGGACGCTGTGATCGCACAGCAGTGGCTGGGACACACCTTTTTCTTTCTCCTTCGTGGCTGTCAAGCCACAGAAATAAGCTGTTTGCAAACTCAAGAAAAGGCGAACTCTGTACAAGCGCCACGGTCCGTGAGCCCAGGCTCTTTCTAATGAGACCGCGCTGGGTCCTGCCTGCAGAGTCACTTCCTCCGCCTCTGTCACCGGCTCCGACAGGCCACATCCATGTGCTCCTGCTTCACGCCGTTTCATTTGGGGGCTACTGGTCTGTGCTGCGCCCGGAACAGAACCGAACTGACTCGTGGTGCTCCTCTGTGCGTGTGCGGGTCAGGGCACCCGGGGGCGGGGAGTGGGGGGGGGGGGGAGGTCGACCGCCTCAGGCCAGTGCAGACGGTGAGCACACGTCACTGTCGCTTCCAGCACTGGGTTCCGAGGTGTCTCGCTGCACATTATGTGGTCATGGTGATGTGACCTCCACCACAGCAGGGGCGGGTGGGTCCCTTACAGCCGAGGGACAAAGGAGGCTCATGCTCACAGCGTCAGAGGCTCACTCTGCAAACGTCTCTCGAGCCCTTGCGATGGGCTCCGTGCCAGGGACATGGCAGTGACAGGCAGACGTGGACCCGGACCTCAGGGAGTGCACAGCCCAGCGGGGGGCAGGGGTCGCTCTGACAAGTGCGATGGCCAGGAGGGTGGCAGCCCTAGGGACAGACCAGGGAATCTGGTCTGAGGAAGTGACGTTTAACTGAGACAAGAATGAGAACAAGCAAAACGGAGGGAAGGGAGGGGACCGCGTTTCAGGCAGTGAGAAAGCACACGCAAAGGCACTGGGGTAGGAGGGACGGGCATCTCGGCGGAACTGAGGAATGTCTGGAAGGAAGCAAGCAAGGGACATGACCCCAGATACGTGGTCATGTGGGCCTGGTGGGCCACAATAGGGGAGCTTATGGGCCAGGTTGGGCAGGTCTCTGGGTCAGACGGGGTGGGTCTCGTGGGTCAGGTCATATGGGAGCATCACAGACCAGCCTGGGTGGTCATCACGGACCAGGTGAGGGGTGTTAGCTCAGCCTGGGGGCTACGGGTGGCATTTTGGGTGTTACGTGAGTTCATTCATGTGCTCAGTCTACAAGGAGGGCAGCTAAGAATTCCTGGGTGAGAGAGATCGGGCGATACGGACAGGGCCGCACGGAGGGTACACAGCCAGGAAGGGCCACACTGCTCTGCTCTGTCTGCTTCCCAAGCGACTCTTCTCTACTTTGCAAATCTGCGCCTCTTTGCAGGGAGGTCAGCTGGTTGGGAAAATGACTACAAGGGAGGAGGGGCTGTAACCACTTAGCACGCAGGACCCTGAAGGCACTGGCGAGTCTAACTTCTGCAAATAAAGAAAACGTAAATTAACGGCTCCAGTGGCTTTAAGTTACAACGAAGAGCCACGTTCCCTTCGCCGGCTGCCACGGCGGCAGACCTGTACGTGCCAGTCTGTATTTCTCAGACTCTGCGCCCTTGGAGACGACCTGTCACCCTTTAACTTTGCTAAAGGACCAGGCAAACTGACCCACGCCCTACCGCCCCACAGACACCTCCTTCCAGGGACACGGACCACAGGGTGCCACGCGTCTACCATTCGCTCCTCCAGACCTTCCTCAGATAGACTACGGCCCAGGGAACCATTGCTCTGGCATTTCCCCAAAACCCAATTTCTTTTACTCTTTGGAAACCTAGTGCTTCCTATCTCGTTAGGCAAAATAAGGTCTCCCCAAGTCGCCCATGTCCAAATCCCCAGAATATGCCGCCTTCCAGGGTGCAAGCCAGTTCTCAACCTTGGCTGCACATTAGAATCAGCCTGGAATCTTTTTAAAATCCTGATTTCTGGGCCTCATCCTCCGGAAATTCTGTTTCTTTGTTACTAATGCTGTGGCCCCACCCCATAACAAAGAAACAGAATTTCCGGAGGATGAGGCCCAGAAATCAGGATTTTAAAAAGATTCCCAGGTGATTCTAATGTGCAGCCAAGGTTGAGAACCACTGGTCCAAGAGATTTTGCAGTCGCACATTAGGGACTGAGACGGGAAGAGACCCAGGTGAGTCCAATGTAAGCACAAGGGCCCGTGCAGGTGAGAGGGAGGCCGGAAGTCAGGGTGGGCGGAGACGGGATGGTGGGAACAGGTGGGAGCACCAGGTCTCTGGCTCTGGCACGGAGGAGGGGCCACGAGCCCAGGGATGTGGGCGCCTCCATCAGCCGGGAAAGTCAAGGGAACGGATTCTCCTTTGGGTCTCCAGCAGGAACCCAGCCCACGGGCACCTTCCTTCTGGCCAGTGACGCCCCCTCGGACGTCCGACCTCCAGGACTGCAAGGTAATAACTGCTGTCTTTAGCCACTGAGTTTGTGTTAATTTGTTGAGAGTTTGTGTTAATTTCTCATCGGACACGACCACGCGCCTTCAGAATGCCCGAATTTCAGTTGCGCGCTCATTCCTCGATCCCCTCGTTCGTTTATTCCTCCGTTTTGCCCGACCGCCTCTCCCTTCTCTTGCTCACCAGGCCACTTCTCCCTCCTCCTTGAATGCTATGAGCCCCAGGCCTGAAGCCCAGGCTCCAGCTGAGTTTCCTAAAACAAAACACCTTAACCTTTCACCGCTGGACAGCCAAGAACCGACCTTGCTGAGAGAGAGGCCTGTTTGCCCCGGTTCCTGCGAGGGGACCTCCACGTTCTTGGAATGTCCTCCCGGATACCAGGGTCTCAGGTTACGGGGGAGCCTGGGCTCCGTCAGTGATGTGATTAGGGTGGGGTCTCGGGCCACGTGCTATGAGCCCATCCTGCAGAGGGCGGGGGGTTAAGGCCAAGCCACACTGGCGGCCGACCACGTCTGTGCGACCGCGTCCCAATGAAACTGGACACCGAGCTCGGGGAGCCTCCGTGGTGGGCAGTGGCCGGTGTATGATGTCACAGCGCTGTCAGGAGGCCAGTGCTGCCCACGCTCCCCGAGAGGACGCTGGAGGCCTCTGCCTGGGACCTCAGGCTGACCTGGGTCTGTAGCTCCCGCTGCAACCACCCGCCGCGGGAACAGCTGCAGCGAGTCCTTTAGAGCAGCGGGCGCCACCCTTTCGGGCGTCAGGGACAACCGGCGGGCGCCGCTGCTTCAGAGAACTGAAGAGCCGAGGGTGGTCTTGGTGACCTGCGTTTGGTGTCAGTGAGGCATCCTGTGGGGACTGTTTTTGTTTCACCCTCACCTGAGCATAGTTTTCCCACTGCTTTTCGGAAAGAGTGGAAGGGAGGGAGGGAGGGAGGGAGGGAGGGAGAGGGGAAAGAGAGAAACGCAATGTGAGACTCAACTGGTTACCTCCCGCACGCCCCGAACCTGAGACGCTTCGGTGGGCGGGGGCACATCACCCGTGTCTACCGTCTCTGTGTTCTCTGAGGACGGTTCATTTCTCTCCTTTCCGCCCCGACTCCTGGTGAGAACCGAGGCCGCGAAGCCGGAGTGTGGCGGGTCTGTTTCACCACACTCCCCGGAGCCTTTCAAGAGAAATGGCACAGGCAGGACAGGCAGCAGGCAGGCCCGCGTGGCGCTCGGCTCCGCGCCCGTCCCCACGGGTGGGGTGGCTCTGGGCTGGGCTCAGAGACCTCTCTATGAGCCGCGCGACCTGGGATTTAGCAGCATCCGCGTCAGCCAAGCTGGGACCTTACTGTTTGTTTACCGGTCAGGAGACAGCGGGCATTTAGAAAAATGCTGCTCCCTGCTGCCTGAGAACTCGAGGTGGTCGTCAGTTTATCTCACAGCCCCGTGCCCACCATACCATGATGGTGCCTCTCTCACAGCCCCATGCCCACCACACCATGATGGTGCCTCTCTCACAGCCCTGTGCCCACCATACCATGATGGTGTCTCTCTCACAGCCCTGTGCCCACCATACCATGATGGTGTCTCTCTCACAGCCCTGTGCCCACCATACCATGATGGTGCCTCACAGCCCGTGCCCACCATACCATGATGGTGCCTCTCTCACAGCCCCGTGCCCACCATATCCTGATGGGAGAGGTCTGGGAAAGAGCCTGCCAGGCTGCAGGGTGAGGTACCTTGTCAGCATATCCCGTGCACGAGAGCTCTCCCGTTCACACCCACCCTCCCGTGCACACACACCCTCCTGTGCACACGCACCCTCCCGTGCACACGCACCCTCCTGTGCACACGCTCCCTCCTGTGCACGCGAACCCTCCTAGACAGACAGTGAGGACGAGAATACTTATAACACTGTATGATGCTCACTCTGTGCCCATAGCACCTCTGTGCTCTGCCTGTGCCTGTGGAAGCTTATTTAAACCGATGGACAGTCCTGTGAAGAAAGCTCAGACCCGGCCCCAGCTCTCTCTCCATGATGCCTCCCCGTCTCCCTGCTCCCAGCGCTGCCCCCTGCAGGCCACTGTCTGCACAGGCCTCGGAAAGCAAGGCGAGTCACTTTCGGCCTTTGGGGCCTGGGCCCAGGAGGATGTGCGGTCCTCACACACACTCAGACCCTGAGGGCTCCCAGCCGGGCCCGCCTGGGGGCCACGTACCTGGCAGAGCGCCGCCGTGGCCTCAGTGGCCCTGAAGTTCTCCTCTTCCTCCAGGTCACTGCGCGTTACCCTCTGCCGCTCCAGGACCCCGTGAAAAGCCTGAGAGTAAATGCAGGAGCTGAATCGGACAGAAAAATGCACACACACCCGCCCGCCCCCCCCCTCCCCCGGAAAATGCCCCCAACTCTCAGATCAAAAGGACGTTCACCCTTGGTTTATATCTGAGAAAAGTGAGGCATGGGGTCACGCGGCTTCTGTGGCTTGCAGGCTGAGGCCACGGCAGGGACCAGCGAGCCTGGACCCAGGAAAGCCATAGACTGAGCTTTGGTCCAGCCAGAAGGCGGAGGTGCTGCAGGCCGCCCTGACTGCTCTCTCCTGGACACAGGCCGCCCGGACAGCGTCCTCTGACTTAGTGCTGCAGGCCCTGCCCAGGTCTGGAAGACCCGCCTCGAGGAGCCCTGGTCACCGGTGTGCAGACCAGGAGCCGGGGATGCAGGCTCAGAGGACTCGGTCACTGGGCGGACCCACGGGAGGCCGAGAAGTGCCCCCGTCTGCTGGAGGCCGGTGACAGGGCCTGAGCCGCACCAGGGCAGCTGGGTCGCGCGCAGGGTCACCTGGAGGAGCTCCTCGGGGTTGGCGGTCAGCGGCGCCTCCGCCAGGAAGGCCCTCCGTTCCTCCTCCTGGGCCCGCGTGAGCTGCGCCGTGCCCTCCGCCTGGCGAGCCTGCGACGCCTGGACCAGCTCTTGGCCTCGCTGCACAAACTCTGAAAGTGGAATAAGCCAGGACGTCACAGGCGGCTCTCCCGGCAGAACCTCCCTGGCTTCTTCTGCCAGCACCAAGAGGGGCGCCACTGAGGGGCGAAGTCAGTTTATTTCAGTTTCATTATTCGGGCACATGTGCTCCAAAAGGCCGGGGTCAGGAGCCTGGTCCTCCAGCCCAAAGCCCCCCCCCCCCCATCAGAGACAGCGGGAGGGAGGGAGGGAGCGGGGAGAGAGGCCTTAGAAGAGATGTGAGTGCGCGCTCTCCACCACGTTCTGCCGGCCAGGAGTGGGCCCTCCCCGGGAACCAAATCTGGGCACACTGAGGTGGACTTCCAGCTTCCAGAACAAATGCCTGCTAAGACACCCGGAGAATCCCCGGTCCCTACAGGATCCAGGCCAGTGTGGGGGTCAGAACCTGCTGGGGGACTCGCGAGGCACACAGACGCCCTGCAGACGCCCCGACGAGACCCGAGGGGCCCCGGGCACACGCAGCCTTGGGTCCGCACCAACGGGCTCTCTTGCCCAGGCTGTGAGGAAGCGGGTGCAGAGGGGGTCCCCGCCCTGCAAGGAGAAGGCCAGGTTGCTTCCTGCAGCCCCACCAAAGGTCTGACCCAGACTAAGCCTCGGTGCCCGGATGTCTTCAGCCCTCACCTGCCACTTCCCAGACGGCCAAGCAGCAGGCGTGTGTGGGAAGCGGCCACGGCGGGTGCCCTCTCCTGCCTCGCACACCCCACCCGGCATCTCAGGCCCCGTGGCTGGTGCAGGGCTGCGGGCACTGGGCACCTCCGCCCTCCTGCCCTCTGCACGTTCCTGGTGGCTCTGCCGAGAGACCCTGGGGTCCCCGTGAGCCGGAATCACCGACGAGGAAATGGAGCAGGAGAGCCCTCCAGGGAGGCAGCCCTGTCTACCCCGATCTACGGGGAAGGCAAGCGAGCGCAGAGCATATAAGGGGCTGGTCCCCAAGGGCAGAACTGGGACTCTTGCTGCCCCCAGCCCGGCCCCCTGGCCCCCAGCCCGGCCCCAGGCCCCGCGGAAGCCGCTCACCCCTGCTGAAGCGCTCGGCCTCCTCCCAGAAGGCCTTGTGCTGCTGGGTCAGCAGCTCCTCCTTCTGCCGCCCGGACAGCCAGCCCTGGGCGGCCAGCAGGTCCAGGCTGCGGGAGATGGCGGCCAGCCGGCACCTGGTCTCCTCCTGGATCTGCAGCCTCAGGAACTCGATCGTCTTCGCCACGTGCACGCGGCCCCATCGTTCTCTCCAGGAGGTCCTGAGGGGAAGAGGCCCAGACGTCAGGTGGGGAATCTG